TGTGTCTACAAATATATCAATTTGCATATATAGATATATTTAAATCCTCCAGAATTGATCATCCAGTCCTATCTGGAGATAAGAAGAGTTCTACAAAGACATGTAATAGTCACTAAACAGATGAAACAAGTGAAGGAAGGCTCAGGCAGGTGATATGCCAGGTGGTTAGGAGGTTCAGGTAACCATTTGACAAACCCAAATTCGACATGTTTGAGAAATAATGTGAGAATGAGGGGTATAACCATATAATAGCCATAAAGTGGAATAGTTCTGCACAAAATGGATGCCTCATCATCATGCATGATCGAAATAACTACACATCCCTGACTGGCAGCATAAATCACAATGAAATGATGCTGGAATTGAATCAGTGGAGATTTTAACAGTGAACTATGACCAGTAGGGGATAGGAAAGTTTGAAACTAATAATGGTAGTACATTCACTTCGAGAGTTATTTGTAAAGATGGTATATTTTATGCACCATTAGATGGCAAGCTGTTAACTGTAAAGAGTTCTAGGAAGAAATATCATGATTAATCATGATTAATCATTCAAACAAATGTACATAGATTAGTAAAGTTTAAACAAAGTAGTAAAAACACAAACTAAAAAATAATGGCGTAAATGCTAAACAAAAGCATTTAACTTGAAAAATATCTGATCAATCTAAAGATGCCAGAGATGTTAAAGGAGGAATGAGAATTATTTAAACATGGAATCCAGCAGAATGTTTGAAGAGGAGGGGGAAGAACAGGGAATGTAATTTCTGAATCACCATGTCTCAGTCAGCAGTTATTATTCAGCTCCATCCCTTGAGGATTTTAACTCTTAAAACACACACACCAACAAGTAAACATTAAAAGCTAAGCTATATTCCAGTCAATGATTAATTTAAATCATGAAGGAAGAATTGGCATTCAAGACTAATTTGTTTTCAATTAAATATTCTATATACTCAAAAACTAAAATGTCATCAGTTAACTATAAACCAAAGGTAAATACTAGTAATTAATATTTATAGACTACATATATGGACTTACAAAGTTTTGAAATGACTCTCAAGTATGAGCAATTATTCTTAGTTTATGGATGATGAAACTGAAATAGAGAGAGTTTTAAAAATGGTCCAGGGTTCAAATAGGATCTCAGGAAGGAAGGATGGACAATTCAAGATACAAATTCAAATAATCTGCTTCCACTCAACTCATCAGCATCTTCATTCATTTCTTTTTGTGTGTGTGTTGCAGACTAGAGAGGGAAAGACATGTTCTGGAAGACCTATTTGGTATCAGATTGATAAATTGTGTCACTGTGTCAACCTCCACTCACAGAAGCACCAGTGTGGTTTGCAGTCTACAAACAGGCTTACAGAGATGCAAGTCAGCCCAGACATCAGCACTTTCTTTATGCAAGCACAGCTACTTTCTTTTTTAATGAGATGAAAGCATCAGATCTCTTCTACTCCTAATCTCAACTGATTATGATAAGGTTTCAGAAATGCATGCTAATATTTTCTAGAACATTCTGAAGGAACCAAAATCTGCCAGTATGGCTTCCTGAGTATTCTAAGCCCTTATGGTATGCAAATCATTATTGTCTCCATTGTTTGTGCCATTGTTCCTTGATGTGCATGTGTCTACTGAGCAGACATGATTGAAAATTGTCTCATAAAGGTCTAATAGGTTTGTGGTACATGCTAGCTAACTGTAATGGAATAAAAAGCAAAAGCCACTTCACTTCGCTTTCCTTTCTGGCAATGTTATTGCATTCCAGAAATAAAGGGTATTGAAATGAACACTTCAAACATTTCAATACGTAATAACACTTTAATTTTTAATACATCCAAAATTTTAGATTTAGTGGAGTACACAATGAAATATGTAAGCACGTGTGTCTTTTAAATATCAGTAACCCTCTAAAAGAATCAGTAGTAAATTATTTCTATAGTTTAAATGTTCTGGCTAGGTTACAGAAGAAAATAGTCTTTAAACAATTTAACATTAAATATTAAAGGTATGTAGCATTTAAAAATATACTGTTTAATTGTGTCTGGATTCATATTACTCAGCTTTTAGTTAATATAAAGTTGATACATCAGTGTGGAAAATTAATGAAGTTTCAGTTTTGAAATTAAACAGTGCATTTCTAAGCATAGAATGGAAACCTGGAATTTTACCTTTAGGATGTTATCTGTAGCTTGCAGCCTATTAAAGCTACTTCCGTGTGCTTTTTTCTCCTTTGTGCCTACGTCACCAATGTAAGGTATTTATTTATTTAATTTTAGAAGAAAAGAAGAGGTTTAGTAGAGATTCTAACCAGAAGTAGGTCTAGAGAAAGATTAACGGGGGGTTGGGTGGCAGTGTTGTTGCATAGAGGGACAAGAAAGAAGAGATTATCTCAGCACTCCCTAGAATCTCATTCCGCCCAAGAAATTTGGGAGAATGTGGAAAAGCAGCAGCCCAGCATTCTTCAAGGGGCGTGGCTTCTCTCAAGGGGCTGTCCAATCGAATTCCTTCAGGGGAAGCGATCCCGAGAAGATTGATGAGTGTTGCTAGGAAACAGGAGCGTCTCCCTCCCCGCTGACCCAGAGATTGTTCTGCACAAGCTTCTCCAGGGGCTCGCAGTGTGCAGTTGAACCGCGTGTGGGGCAGAGCTGCGCACCGGCCTCGCTGGTTCACTCACACTGCTAGCGCTTTCGCAGCCTCCTCGGTAGTGAGGTCAGCCCCTTACACAGGGACCAAAGGAGAGTTCTTCCTAGGAATGATTGTTGGTCCCTGCTCACCTGCGCGTGCCAAGAGCCCTAGCAGAGCTTCAAAGTTGGAGCCACCGCCCTCTCCACCTCCCCACGCCCCTTCACTCCACTCCTCCGAAATTCACCGACCTTTGCCTGCACTGCCTAAGGGTTGCAAACCCTGGGGCAAAGCAGCCAGCAACCCCGCGTGGCTTTCTGTATCCTAACCCTCTGATCTAGGTACCCTGACTCACTGAAGACTCTGCAGATACACCCCTATATACGGAGGGAAGAAGGGGGAGGGGAAGGAGAAAGAATGAGAAGGAAAGGATGCCAGAAGGTCCGTGCCTCTGCTGGGAGTCCCAATTAGATGCGACTGTTTCAGCCTAGCCAAGGTGAAGGAAAGTTGCTTCCGCGCCTAGGAAGTGGTTCGCCTGCAAAGAGGAGGAGGGAGACTGGGTCTGAAGCTCCCCTCCCCTCTACTGAAGACCACTGGGTCCCCTTCTCCCCAACCTCCTCCCACTCTTCTCCTCCAGCCCTCCCTTTCCCCACTCCCCCTTGACTTGGAGGCCTGGATGCTGGGCCACCAGGCAGTGGTCCAGCACGCAGCCGGGCGGGGGCGGGGGCAGGGGGCACTGTGACAGGAAGCTTCGCGCACAAGTTGGCCGTTTCAGGGGCAAAATAAGTTCTCCCTTGGATTTGGAAAGGACAAAGGCAGAAAGCTCCCTCTTTTGTGTCGGATGAAGAGGACCAACCATGAGCCAGAACCCGGGTGCAGGCTCATCGCTGCCGCTGCCACATCGGTCAGCTCCAGTTCCTGCCAGGAGTTGTCTGTGCGAGGTAAGGAGCCCAGAGGAGGACGTGTCCCTCTGGAGGGCGCCCAGCCAGGGCGCAGGAGCTCGGTTGCCGCGTGGGGCAGGCGAAGCGGGGAAAGTTAAGGCACAGCATGGACCAGTCCTTACGTATCTGCTGGGGGGTGGGAAACGTGGGTCACAGGAGCAATGTGGGTGTGCTTGAGAGAGAGTTTGTGTGTATGCGCGCGCTCTGTCCCTCCAGGAAGAGAAGCAGATTTCAGGGCAGAGTCTGCGGCCAGAGAGTAAGAGGTAAAGGGAATAACCAGAGACCAGTCTCATCTGCCAACCACCGCCAGCTCTGTGCTGGGCTCAGGAGTCGTTTGTATGGAGGTTACAAGGCATTGTGCACAGGCACCATGCAATGAGTGGCTGACACCCTGGCAGTTTCGTGTGGGTGTGGAGGTTGCCAGGCGAGGTGGGTAGCGGTCAGCAGGACCTGGTGCTGCCAGATTAAGCTCTGAAGCCAGGGGCAGACAGAGGTTCGCCCTCCCGCAAGCATGCTTGAAAATCATTCCTAACTCCATGTCCCTTGCTCCTTTTGGCTTGAGCCAAAAATCAAAGAGCCAGCCTGAGAGCCTATCTCCCCATCGATCCTGTTCCATTTTCTTATCTGACAGTGAGATAACTCAGAGAGGGCGGGAGATGTGCGGTCCAAAAATAGACTAGGTAATATATCCAATAAGCTCGTTTCTTGAGGATTTCTCTTAGATTTCCTTCTAGTTTTTCCTTGAGGTAACAAACATATGAGTCTCTAAAGGTGTAATCCCTCTAGGTGCATGTTTTAAGGAGGTGAGAACCTGCTTTCTAAATATCTTAGAGCACTTCAAATTTTGAAGACAAAACTACCTTTTGAAAGATCTGTGGTCAAAGACGCAACTAATTTGCATACAAATTAGTTGGAACAGTAATGAATATGTTTGTAGATATATTTGGACTCTCCACAGCCCGTATAAATACATATTGGTACATTGTAAGTTGAGATTTTTGTGAGTTGGGGTTAGGGTGAGTTCAGGACCTCAGCCAGTTCATTACTGAGAGCCCTTTTGCATGAATATCTTTGTACTCCTGGCCCCAAGAATTGTTCCTCAGAGGTACATTGTTTCTGGGGAGGGAGGAGGGTGATGGCATCCATTTGGAAACATTAATATACCTGTCTCCGTATCTAAGTTTGTTTTGGTTTATCTGATCGCATTTTAGGGTTGTTATCTGAACTCTATTATGTGCATAAACATATTTGATGCAGGCATTGTGAAAATCATCCAGATTCCCATTAAGCTAAATGCGTGTGGATAGTAATTCCTACCAAAGATATTTAGGATAGTGATTATCAGCTAAGGTTTTTGTATTGCTATCTGTCTTTTTTCTAAAAACAGCCTGATAGAGTTTGGAGGTTTAAAAGCTAATGTGCACCATATCTTCATAGTGGTACTTTTCATTTTGCAATGGCAATATCTTACATCTACAAAGGTTTCCCACTCCTGTAGGTTTGAGCTGTCTACACTTCTGAGTTCTGATTGCCCAGCGGGAGTACATATCCTGAAGTATCTTGGTTTGAACTCTGAGTGATGTTTGGAATGTTATGAGGCAAAATGAGGAAATGAAGTTTTGAAATGTGTACTTGTACAAGTGAAACAATGAAAATTATATGTACATTCATGGGATCTAAAACAATCTGTAAGTCCCACCCCATCCCCAAAATGGTATGAAACATCTATTTCTATGAGCCAGATATTTACCAATGAAATGTGAACCTTAAATCATTTTTTTAAAAACTTTGTTAGCACACAAAATAAAAGATATACTTCTCTGTTTAAAGCCAATGGTATTTTCCACACCCCCGTTATATGTCATCATCAAGAAAATGTGAGAAAGTCTACATGAAGAGATATTATTAAGTAATGAAATTATATACTATGTGACTCACTTATGACTGTATGATGGATATCTTTTTTAAATTGTGTTATAATATGAAAATATAAGTATAAACTAGATTTTATTGTGCCATGATTGCCTAATATCAAAATGATGAGCACTTCTCTGATTTTGTTATTGTAATTAAAAATAGCAAGCTGAACAAATGTAAAGATAGCATAAATTATTTTTGACTTATGATTGATACTCATGTTGAGTAAAGATTCTGGCTATCAAAAGGTCATCTGTTCTTTTTTACTTCATGACAGATGAGCAAGTAAACCACACAAAATCTAGGATTATCTTGTTTTGTAAAATTCACAGCAACAATATCTTTCAACATTCATGGGACTATTTCCTCTTCTTTTTTCAGGTTTAACTTTTTTTTTTTTCAAATTATATTGTCTCCTCTTTTTGTCCATTCCTCTAATAGTAAGTTCCAAAATGAATCATGATCTTTTTTCTAGGGTTCTTGCTGGTGTCTACCAAAATACATCCTGTTGGCTTGGGGATTAGATGTTTCCATTTGTTTTCTGTATGCAACATCATCCCAAGAACCCATTAACAAAAGAAATGAAATGTGATATCTAGTTTTCATTGAAAAAAAGAAAAAGGCAGCTTACATTTCTGCACAGTGTAATTTGACCAGAGTTGTAGTATAAACCTTGCCTTTTCCTGGGCCAATTTTAAAAAATGGAGCAGGTGTTTACTCATGGTTGCCTAACTTTGCTATTTTATACTGAGCTCATTGTCCATTCTCACTCTGAGACTCTGCTAAATGCACCCAATTCTGCATTAGATGAATTTGTTGAAATTGCTTTAAGAAGCAGCATAAAATGATAGAAGATTACCTATGAAGACCAAACAAACAAGATGAGTACAATCATAATAATCACTGAAGGAGGTCATCCTCCTTCTTCTACCTCTAATGTAGGCTTGGTCCCTATAACATTACTGTATTTTAGTCCAGTGCAGTTTCAAACAGTTCATGTGATGGTTTCTTCCAGAGTTTCTGAAACACTATTTCACAGTCTAATGACTCTTCCTATTAAGAACTTTGTTATGCTATTCAGCCTAATTTTCTGTGATTCTGATTTATCTTATTACTAGTTCCTCATCATTCACCCCTCTGGATTACTCCATCTTCTTGTATGAGTTACAGTCTTCATCTACATTTATACAAGAATTTTAAAATACAAAAGTTCTACATGGTTACAGAAGAGAGCACAGTATTCTATGTCCACATCTTTGCTCAATAAGATATGTCTTTTAGGTCTTTTATGTGTATATATATGGTTATAGAATCCTAATAATTTATTTTATTAATCTAAGAGAGAAGAAATTGTCTTCCCTGACATTAGTAACCTATGTGAATGTGAGATGCTCTCTTCTAAGTAATGGTCTATGTGGCTGCACATTTATGAGACATTCTCCTTGCAAATTTGCTGTCAACAGAGCCCTGTCACCACCCACACTACAAGGGAATTCTGTGACATGCTGATCTGATGCTCCACTGAGCCCCAGAAGCTGTTGTCATGTAAATTCCACTTTTGAAATTAAAGTGATTTCCATAATTAACAAAATGTGCAAGGAATGCAATAGTGTACATAGTTTAACTGTGTATGTGAACACAGCGTAGTAATTATGATAGAATTTTTAGTGACCCCCCCCCTTGTACTGACACAGGCTGGAAAAACCAGAATGAAGACCACATTATTCAATACGCTGTATCATAAAAAGTAAGTTCACATCAAGCTTATATCAATACAGAATATATTTAGATTTATATGGAGATACCATATGTGAAGGCTACTTTAAAAATAAGAAAGCCTGAAATAACCATAAGAGAAAAACAGGTTTTCAGTTTGTTCACTTAAAATCTGGTTCTGAGACATCCATTTGTAGGCTTCCTTAAGATTCTTCAGCAAATATCTTGGTAGACTCACCCTCCCACTCAATTGTTTCTCCAAGTCCAGACATTGAAATGCAAGTCCTGCTAGACAGTAGAAGAGCAAATGATTCAAATCAGGAAGTTCCTAGGTATACTTGGCAAAGCCAGAGTACAAGACTCTGAGTGAGGTGAATCAGCAGCCAAAACTACTACGAAGTGCTGCTGCCTTCTTTGCACTTTGTTAAGCATTAGATGGTACACAGAAACAGTCATGCAGATTAAGGAAGCAGTAAGGAGAAATGCCATTCAAAACTAACTGAGTTTCTAAGGGAATAGAGTTGGGCTGCACAGAGTAAACAATTTTTAAGGCAGTATTCTCTCTCCTGATGTCCTAAAGTGATTTTATGGTGCCATTCATCACACAGTGGTGAGTACCCTCAAAATGGTTTTCCTTAGAAACAAAGGGAAAATCAATTTTCTTGGTATAGGAAAAGTAGGCCATTAATATATTTGTGATTTCACCCTGGAACCAGAAGGGCATTCTAAGAAGTCAATGTCTACAGAGAGCATATTTTATCATCAAATCAGCAATCTTGTAGAACTGGAAAAATGCACAGTGTACTTTAAAGAGATAAAAATGCACTTAGAAACTATTCACATATAATCTATATAAAGTATACACCAAAGCATCATGTTTCAAAATATAAAGTCCTATAAATAGAAGATAGTTCCCTCAGAAACACAGGCAGTCTTTGACTTTAATTCTTTGTCAGATTTTACTTTCAGTATCATTTCTTACACAGAGATAGAGACAGAGAGACACAGAGAGAGAACTCAGTTGAAAAAGTGTAGATATTCACCAAGCATACAGTAAGTTTCAAAACCTAGATACTAGATACGTAGTTTTCAAAAACTTAAAACCAAAGCATGCAGAAAAGAATATTAAGAGAATAATAAGAATTTCCAGAACAGTGATCAATTTTGAAGTATATGTAGGATTTTGAGGAGACACTCTGATGGAAAAAACTACAGCCAGAAAGAAAAGTTAGCTACTAGGAAAACAACTGTTAAGATTAGAGCATGCAGTGAGGACACAAAAATGCTAAAAATATGCACAAAACATTACAAATATATGTACAGAAGAAAGTGCTTGAAAATTAAACTTGGAATTCAAGATTAGAAAA